AACCGGGCAGCACCCCAGCTGTTCTGCCCCAGGCGTCCTGATTCAGCCACTGCTGGTCAGTTTCAGCAGCGGCTGAATCAGGACGCCTGGGGCAGAGCAGCTTGGGTGCTGCTGGGTTGGTCCAGTAGTGCCCAGGAGCGGCGGCGCTACTGGACCAACCCGGGAGCACCCCAGCTGCTCTGCCCCAGGCGTCCTGATTCAGCCACTGCTGGTCAGTTTCAGCAGCGGCTGAATCAGGACGCCTGGGGCAGAGCAGCTTGGGTGCTGCTGGGTTGGTCCAGTAGTGCCCAGGAGCGGCGGCGCTACTGGACCAACCCGGGAGCACCCCAGCTGCTCTGCCCCAGGCGTCCCCAAGTCAGCCGCTGCTGAAACTGACCAGTGGCTGACTACAGGAAGCCCCTGCCCCGGGCTTCCTGGAATCAGCCTCTGATCAGTTTCAGCAGCAGCTGACTTGGGGATACCTGGGGTTCTTAAGTTGAATCTGTATGTAAGTCAGAACTGGTGTCCAGATTCAGCTGCTGTTGAAACTGATCAGTTTCAGCAGCGGCTGGATCAGGACGCCAGTTCCGACTTGCATACAGATTTAACTTAAGAACAAACCTACAGTCCCTATTTTGTACGTCCCGGGGACTGCCTGTACCATTAGGAATTGGTCTCTGCTGAAAACGCACTGCTGCTGATCCTTGACTTAGATCCCAGGATCCACAGCAGGCAGCTGCTGTTGAAACTGATCAGTTTCAGCAGCGGCTGGATCAGGACGCCAGTTCCGACTTGCATACAGATTTAACTTAAGAACAAACCTACAGTCCCTATTTTGTACGTCCCGGGGACTGCCTGTACCATTAGGAATTGGTCTCTGCTGAAAACGCACTGCTGCTGATCCTTGACTTAGATCCCAGGATCCACAGCAGGCAGGGAAGAAGGACTTTCTGAGGTAACAAGATATTACAATAATTTGCAAACCTATCCAGTGTGGAATCTTAGGAAAACATACTGCATACAACACGGCTACATTTCTATCACTATTATACTGCATTCAGACAGCTGCCCACCACAGCTGGATTGCAGACTGGAATGTTTCTGCAGCTAACGGTCTTTGGTGAGCTCCCAAAGCAATGTGTCTCTATATATTTTAGAGGTTGTGCGTTTGTCTGTCTGCAAGTCTGTTTCTTCAAAAACTGCTAAGACCACCAGATTTGGGATGTAGCTTCCTCTTATCCTAACTTAAAGCAAGATCAAGGTTTGGTTGTCAGGAAAACTAAATGTATGTCCAAAAGAGAACTTGAATAGGGGAAAAAGTGTACTAACTTTTTGAGCTACCTTGCACCTGAAATTTGTTTCTTTACCCCTGTTGAGGACGATGCCTGTTGAAGAGAAAGTTGTTGCTAGTAACAGCATTCTCATTGGCAGAGTTAAACAAAGTTTTAATATTTAAAGATATAAATTGGGCACTCCCAAATTAGTGATCAATTTCAGCCATAGGATTTTAATGATTTTCAGTTATTTTGAATCTGGAACTCTTTGATGTTAAAGCCCTTTGTGGGGGAGGTGTTGAAATACTACTACCCTTGTGCACTGCTGCCCTCAGAGCTGAGCAACTGGAGAACACCAGCTCTAACGGCAGAGCTGCCACCAGCAGCAGCAGCAGCGCGGAAATGAGGATGGCATGGTATAGTATTCTGTGCTTCTGCTAGCAGAGTGCTGGCCATCAGCTTCTGCTCTCCCCACTGCCCAGCTCTGAAGTCAGTGCAAAAGTAAGGATAGTAGTACTATAACACTTCCCTTACAATGGGCTTTTAACACCAAGACATTTCAGATTCTAATAGATGAAATCATTAAATGGCAATGTGGCCTCCTCCCCAAATAACCCTCTGAATCCCTTGCAACTCTTCTTTGGGACAGAACTCCCAATTTGAGATCTGTTGGCCTCCCTTCCCAATGAAATCTGTATAGTATGGAGAAGAGCACACACAACACTAGATCTCAAGAGCTGGGTGGAGACTAGATTTCAGTCAGTGACCTTTTTTTCATGGCTGTGAATTTTGGTAGGGCCCTAGCTATAAGAGCAACTTGAATAGATTTCCAAAAATTCTCTGCTTTGAAGGGTGGATTTCAGAAGTTTCTTTTTTTGCAAATTTTAATAGAATATTCTTGCATTCCATGAAAAATATGCAGGAATTATGTTAAACTGAAAGAAACGTTGGGAATACAAACAGCATTGGTTGCTCATCATATGTGGTTATTTTGGTCTCCAGTCTGTCCTAATGTCATCTTTGTTTGCTTTTCCCTTGGAATTTGACATCAAATTGTTACTTTGCAGATTCTTTGATTTATACATTGTTGTTTGTTCCCCATTCTATAAGTTGCCAGTTAATAGCTGAAGAAACTTGCCAGTTAATAGAAAGTGAAAGGAAGAGGCAGCAGATCTACTGATACAGCTGTCACAGGGTTTGAGCAGTCTGGTAGACCAAAGGGAGCAGAAGCACAGTACTCTAAACTCTAGTGTTTATACTACTACCATGTCTACACTCGCGGTTTCACAGGCTGAAGTAAGTGGTGGGAATTTCCCCACAAGGCAGTGCAGGCCTATTATGAAAAAAGAAAGTTATTGTTTTTCTTAAATAAGATGTCTTCTCAAATGACAGTTTTGAAGAACATCTTGTAAATTATGCACCCGTGGAACATTTCTGCAGAGGAAGCCTCGTAGAATATGCTTGGCCTTGCTGGAACAATGGGACATGGCTGGTGTTCAGGAACTCACTGAATAAAATCACTGTGAAATACTAGCCTCTGAATATAAAATTATTTCATGTACTTAAAAATGAATTAAGAAAAGTATCTGGCTGTTATGTGTATGATATTATGGGAACAGCATGCTCTGCCAAAATGAAATACTGAGTACCTCGGCTGCGATTAGCAGTAGGTTGGGACTTTATGGAAAAATTGAATTTGGTTGTTAGGTGGAGTCTCCACAGGCTTCTCCAGCTTTGCTAGCTGACCAGGAAGGAACATTATGGCGTGGTTTCTGGGTAACAGCCTATTTTGCTTGTCCATGTAATGTAAGGAATGGTGCCAAGAAGAAAGGATTCAACACCACCACAAAATGTCTGTTTCCTGCCTGTGGTTTTCATAGGGGGCATACGTTTGAAATACGGGCCAGTGTTCCTGCTAATCTTTTCCATCTATGTGCGGATTTTTTCTTTCAATGTGCAGAATAAATTTTTATGTGCACCGAGCCGTGTGTGACTGTGCATCACCAATAGAAACACAAAACCTAGCTTGGGCACTCTGCTTATCAGGTAGGCAGCAATTGAATGTCACCTGACTGGCTGCGCAAGTGCACAGCATACAGGAAACACTGATTCTGACCCTATTAAAATTAATGGGAGTTATGCTGTTGACATGAACCTGGCCAGGATTTTGCATAATGTGCATATATCTGTCCTATTGGACATATCTATAATCATGCAGTACAGGCAGTCCCCGAGTTACGCGGATCCGACTTATGTTACGAACGGGGCCCGTCTCCCTGGTCTCCAGCAGACCAGGGAGAGGAAGCAAAGCGGCGGAGCATGCAGGCAGCGGACAGCCCAGATACGTCTGGGCTGTCCGCGTGCTCCTTGGCTTTGCTCTGCTTTGCTCCCCGTCTCCCTGGTCTGC